TTTATTAAAATCATTTCCAATAAAAGTTTTCTGTGCTTAACCATTGTATATCAAAATTTGTAATACATTTATATTGATTTGGTCAATTTTTTACTGCTGATCATTATAACAATACTGCAATCCGAAAAAATTGTTAACAGAGCAGCATTGTCTAACAGAAACATAATGTAAGCCACGAGTCATTTAAAATTTTCTAGTTGTCACATTAGAATAAAAAAACAAAATTTCAATAATTTCATATTTTTAACTCATACATCTAAAATGTTATGTCAGCACGTAATCAGTATAAAAACATTTTAATATTTAACATTTTTTTCATGCTGTCTTTAAAACCGGTGTGCATTTTACACAGGCAGCACACCTCATTTCAGAATAACCACATTTTAGGTGCTCAGTAGCCATGTGTGGCTAGTGGATACTGTGTTGGACAGAGTTAGAATCTTAGGGTCACAGGAAATAAAATTTTTTTTCTTAGAGGGTATGATACAGTGACAAAGGAGTCTCAAGCAAAAAAACATAGGGCAAAATTTTAGGGAAGAATTAGAATGGGAATATGAGTTTAAGGAGAAATATGAATGATATAAAATGTCCTCCTGTTATAGAGGACTTGTTCACGTATTTTTAAAATTAATAATAGTGGGAATCAAATATTTATGGCACTTAGGTTCCTTTACATCCATCTGAATGACTGATGCATTTATAATATACCAGATATATTCTTCTCAACTATTTAAACATGTCAAAAACTTTCAGATGTTAACTTAAAATGTGCAAGCGTATATATGATTTTACAAAATTCAAAATTATTTTGGGCACATTTGAGGAAAATATTTCAAGAAAATAGGACAATAGCAAATAGGACAGGGCATTAGAGGACTAGAGGAAGAGGGGATGGTGATGAGAAAGAAGGGATTAGCAATGTGCAGCAGCAGCATCTACAGCACGAAATTACACGACGTCTGAAAAATCTAGAGACAATCGCGTTGTGAGGGCCACAGAACATCCACCAGTGAAACTGGACAAAGAATCACGGTTAAAACAACTGCAGGTGCAAGTGCAAATTGAAAGTAGAGCCAGCCTGAAGCAGGGCAACATCAAAACGAGGGGACCTCTTCAGCATGGTGGGAAGCCTGGTGACAGCCAGGCAGAGACAGAGGAAAATGCATGAGGTCCCCAAGACAGGTCACCTACCCGTGTATGAACTGGAGTTTTAAGCTGTCCTCGGGAGCCTTTTCTCGTTTGAGGAAGGGCACTGCGTGGTTTTTCTCTTTACTTTGTTGCTTTAGCTGAGGTAGATCTTCTTTGTAAACCTTCAAGCACAACACGAACATTTAGTTGAGATTCCTTCCTTCGGGTTTCAAAAACATTAGCATCTTGGCATTACTATATAACCTTTAATTGCTTCAACTATTTTTTATTTTTGAAAAAATAAGGCA